CACCAGTCCTCACTTAATGCTCGCATCAAATACCTCAGTTTGTCATGGGGGCATGAATGAAATGTTCCTGAATGAAAGTAAAGCTGCAGTTAAAGTCAAAAAATTAAAAATAAAGCACCTGAAATTATATGAAACTCTGGAGGAAACATGGATAGCGTAGTGACGTAATGACAATAATTGTTCTATGTACTGTGACATGTGAGACAGGATCATGAAAGTATTATTCAAAAAGCAACTCATGTAAACACCTTATGATATTATTGTCTTATTCAGATTAAGGCAAATACTTAGATAACTGGGGTCCGTTCTACGTACGTGGATTACTCAGTTAGCTGGATTTGGATATTGACGATTTGACATGATCCAGGATCGTTTCGTTCTTCCAAGCTGATCCGAGAGTTGTTGTCATAGCAACAGTTCTGCTAGGTCAAACCTGATCGGGAGCAGGTTCAATTCATATAAACAGGATTAGATCGGCTTAGTTCAAGCAAAGACAATACAGAAAGTATGTTCCGAATTCTGATATTTTCTTACAGTAGTAGTTATATACACTTGGGAAAATGGTACATTTTTTAACTATATATATAAAGTTATAGTCATTAATAAAATTAAATTAAGTTATACATATTAATAAAACGTATGCAATCTGCACCCTCGAAATGAAAGTACAAATATTGCCACCTGGTGGTGCAAAGAGAAAACTTATTGATATGAACTTTTTAGATCGCTTTAGTACAAATTGTGTATAATAGAAATGCACAATATGTGACTTTTTTTAAAGCAATAATACATTTATGCAGTCATAAACATGTTTTGACAGTTAATATGCCGGTGATTTGATGCTTCACAAAAGTTGCAGACGGCTTTACCAATATGAAAACGCTTTTGTAAACAACCAGTTATTCTTTACACCGATTAAAAAATGGCTACTATAATAAAGAAAAATTTTTCTAAATGTGGAACTAAATACATTGATTTGCATTGAAAAACATGATGAATACACTTGATACATGAAAGTGGAAAGCCTGCCGCTCACAACAAATGTGGAAGGTTATTGCATGTCATATTTACTGCTAATTTAATGTAATTTTGCTCACATGGATAATTGAATATTAATCATATGATGTAATTACGCTGCTGTGCCGTCAGCCAATCGTTGCATTGCTGATGATTTCGAGGATCGATAGATCTGTCCTTCACAACACACGCAGCGATCTCAGATCAGTTTATCCAGACATTCTAATCTGATTCGCGAACTTGTTTGAAGAACCAAATTAGCGAGAGATCAGTAATCAAGATTAAAAAATCCGGGATCTGCCTAATAATCTTAGATCATTTAAGCGAGGTACGAAGAACGGACCCATGATGACCATGTAAACATAGGCTGTTTCTCAATATGCGTTCTTCAGCGGTCTTGCGTCCTCGTGTTCTCGTGCAACGTCATCATCAGCTGCCTAAGTTCAGTTCCAATACTCAAGACCGCAAGTACGGAGGACGCGTGAAACTTCCCGGATGTGATCTTGATATCGAGGACGCACTGATGCAGACTTGAGCACCGAACTCGCTCTGGAAGTCCCAGAAGTCATTGCGACTGAAGGTGGGAAGCGCTGCATTTTATCTAGATTTATTATTAAAGCTCATAGATATGAATTATTTGCCTCAGGAGTTTCCCTAAATGAAACGGTGAAAGTAAACATTACCAAAGACATCTTAATAAAGGAATAAACACATTAAGGGTGTTTGTTTGCTGAAATTCATATTAAAATCGGTTTTATTTATATTGTGCAGAGTATATTTATGTTTTATGAAAGTATATATTTTGAAAAGGGGAAAACAATAAATCGTTTTATGAAGGCTGTAATGTTTAAATAATTTACCATTTAAAACACGTGAAGGTCACATAACCATCAGGAAGAACGCAGCATCTCAATTCTCAAAGGACGCGTTCTCTGCCCTCGCGGTCTCCTGAGTTCGTTCTTCCGAGGACACCTGGCAAGACCGCTCTCCACAAGAACACGAGTCCCTTCTCTGCGTTCTTGGAATTGAGAAACAGCCATAGTCACAAGCCCCAACCCTAGCAGCCTATTTAGCCTCCATTTAGCATAATCTTTAATGTGAGGCAAAAATCTGGTTGCCTAACATTAGGCTATCAGATGTTATGTTTTGTTGTTTTTCATATTGATAGCAAAAAAGTGTCCCAACTGACCAGAATTCACCCTATTTATGGCAAAAATTGAAAATGTTTCAGGTTTAATTAACAATAAATTCATCAGCAATGACAATAAACTGTGAAATGGAAAACTGGGCAGGACAACTGCTAAAATAAGCAGATCATTGGTGACTTGTGCTGTAAACAATTAAAATTTTAACTTACGTGAAATAAGAAAGAAATGTGTTTGATGTGTTTAACTTCATTCTCAAATCCTGTCATGAACAATTGTTAATCGCGGTAACTTTCTCAAAACACGTGGAAAGGACACAATCGTTTAACACAAATCTTCGCGTAAAAAAGTAACAGTTCCGCAACGCTTTTAACACTTTAGCAGATTAGATCACATAATACACGTTTTGTTTTTTTAGGAATCGTGAATAAAGTAATAAAAAAAAACATGCAGTCTATTTAGCCGCCATTTAGCATATTTAATGAGTCTAACATTATATTAGGCTACCAGATTTGACTCAGCCTGTTATTAAGTTTGTTTTATTGTTTTTCATATTGATAGCAAAAAAGTGTCCTGATTAAACCGAATTCACCCTATTATTAATGGCAAAAACTCAAAGTGTTTCAGAATCAATAGATTCATTAGTAATGACAATAAACAGTGAAATGGAAAACTGGGCAGGACAACTGCTTAAACAAGCAGCTCGATGGTGACTTGTGCTAAAAACGATTAGAAATGTGCGTGAAATAAGAACGAAATGTGGTCGATTTGTTTACTAACCTTCATTTCTAAATCCTGTCACGACCAGTCAATAATGGCGTTAACTTTCCCAAACACGCGGAAGGACACAATTGTTTAACACAAAACTCCGCGTAGAAAAGTAGTCCGCAGCGATTGCAACATCTCCCTTACATATTAGATCCCATATACACGTTTAATTTTTTGTTAAGAAATATCAATAAAAGTATATATATATATATATAACATGTAGTCTATTTAGCCTATATCATCATTTTTAATGGGAGTCAATCTTTTAGCCTTTAATCTAGTGTGAACCTAACCCTAACCCTAACCCTAACCCTAACATTACACCGGGGGCCTGTTTCAGAAAGGAGGTTAACTGAAAACTCAGAGTATTTTAACCCTGAAATGAGAGAAACTCTGGGTTTTCCGTTTCAAAATGGCAGGTTTGTTAAACTCGAGAAAGCAGGGTAAGTCAAGCCTGTTTCTGAAAGAGAGGTAACTTAACTCAGAGTCAGTTACTGTGGTAACTTACTCTGTGAATCTAACCTGGTCAGAAGCAGGTTTTATTCTCTAAACTCAGAGTTTCTCCTCCCCTTTTTTTAAAGATGAAGCGGTATTTCTCGCCTTAGCCTTACGTTTCCACCCACCTATTTTTATGCTTATTTTGGATACGTGCATAAAAACGATTGATAGAAACGTCATGATGCACATAACTTTTTAAAATATGTATAAAAAACGCGCATAACTGAGTAGCATAAACTTTTATTCGATCGAAAATGTGCGCATAATCTACGATGGAAACACTTTTACTGAACAAATTACAGTATGTACATTAAAAAAAAGATCATGATCATATGATAATGAAAATGTGTGTAAATGGACAAACAGCAGGCTGAGCACACTGTAACATGTCTTAAATATTGTGTTAGTCATTCTAAAATGCCTTAACTGTTTCAGTATTAGTGTATATTATTAATTACCTCCGAACGTCTAGTGTGTGTCAAGAGTCTCTGCGTCTCATGGCTTCAGACGCCCCCACGTGTTCATTGTGTTTCAGCATTGTCTTCTGACATCGAGGCGCAAGTACATTAATTAGGCTAAATAAAGAATTAATTGACGCAGCTTCTTCTACCACAGTAAATTCTGTTTTTACTGTTGATATTTGGTGCCAGTTTAATCAGGAAGTGACCATTTTTTTCTCTTTGACTCGTTGGATGGAATTTTATTCGCATCTTCTATGCAATATTCCAGTTTTGCACATAAATATATGTAATATATTTGGATGGAAAATAGCTATTGCCTACATTTTTGTCACAGAAGAACTGTACTAGAATGGCTTATCCTTTTTTAATAAATAATTAAATTAAATTCACCTTCGACATGCATGTAACTAGATTAATGGGATTATTATTCTTTCTAAAAATAATTTTTAGTACTGCTTACCTTCTAAATTTTATATTAACCTCTATCACTTGATCAATAAAAAAGGCAGACACAAGTGCACTGTTAAATCATTTAAAACTAATAAATGTATAAAAGAAAGTTTAGAAAAAAAATATAAACGTCACAAATTTCATTACTTATTTTATTATACTTAAATATTTAAATACTTAAAAAGTTAAATTAGGCATTAACTTGAGCAGCTGTTTTCCCACGCTAACTGTCTCTTCTTCACTGATGGTTGCTTCTTTTCAAATATATACACTCATATTTGCTATAACTTTGCATGAGAACATCAGGTTCAGCCGGAGAAAGAAATGGTGATCTCTTTTATAAGATATTGCCATAGTCACTCGTAATGTCTGCGCTCCATTGATAATGCCTTTTTAAAGTCACGGTGTGCGCGCTTAACTCTGAGTTGGTCTACTCGAAGTTGATTGACCCAACTCAGATCAGCTGTTCTGAAACCGAAAACTCTGAGTTTTTAATCTCTCGGTAAATCAACTCAGAGTTCAAGTTTAAACTCTGAGTTGTTTGAACCTCCTTACTGAAACAGGCCCCTGTAGCATCTACGTCCAATTTTTGTTGTTGTGTTTGTTTTGATCTTGAAGTTTGCATATGACACAATGACTAAACAAAGTTAACATAATAAGCTTTGTGGAAAAATATATTTTTATTAATAAGAGACAACTGATATTGTTCACTTCAATATATGAAAACTCCAGACAGGGCAAGATATAATACCTGAGACCTAAACGTGTGCCTAACTCGATGGCTTTCATTGGATTGTAATAACAAAAGGTATTCTCAAATGTTGACATTTTGTGCCAGTTTGTGCATACCAACTGCTGTTTGAGGCGAATTTAAATAGCTAATTTCTCCACTAGGTGGGGCTGCGTGCTAAAATACAATTACTTCAAACTAATTCCAAAGAAATGTTTTTTTTTCCTCCTTCAGATATTTACACACACATTACCTTTCATAAATATCAATGTTAAATGTTACACTCTACAATAAAATAAAGCTTTATATTACTGTTTCACAAGCTAGCAAAAATAATTTATATAATACACAAAAATGTAAAGGTTTAGAGATCAAAAATTGCACTTTAAATGAAGAAAATCATCCAAAACTCAAAATCAGCACACATGAAAAAATACTATAGTAATTACTAGCATGTTTTGGAACACTACTATAGTAAGTACTTGAATTAATCTGTTGTAGTTATTCTATAGTTGCTATTATACAATAACTGTAGCCAAATTACCCAAATATAGTGCTGATTTCTATATTATACTACAATACAACACTGTTTACTACAGTGTTTATAACTTTATCAGCTCACTATGCAAGAGTGCAGTAGCATTCATTCAAAAACCCTGTTGTAAAACACTAATATAATACACTTTACTATAGTATGATTCAAAACCACTATAAATGAATATAGTATTATTTCATGAGGGAGTACAGAAAGAGTGGCACAGTGTTTTCTCTAGGCTGTCATAGATAACGACACTAATAGAGGAGTTTATGTCACTTATATAGTAAACATAATGGCAATAGCTCACACAAGCATGATGGGAACAGCTAGCAGGTCAGTGTGTGTTTGTTTGTGTGTGTGTTTCAGGACAGAGCCTGTATGGGTTGACCCCCTCAGCATGTTTGTTGTGTATTATTCCAGTCTGTGATTAGTGTGTGTTTATTTTCCGAGCCGCTTGGCCACGTCCTGATAGGCCAGTTCGATCTCTCGGTCTGCGGCGCAGGTGTTGGTGAACTCGTCTCGGCTGTAGGCGTTCTGCAGGTATCTCCACACTCCACTCAGATCAGACGGGATCTCAAAGTTACGGTATTTCTTAGACACCACCTGAATGTGGGAAGAAAAATTATTGGTGCTGTTAATTGATCGTCCTAATAAATGTCAGGTCAGGTGAGTTTTTTAGCCGGAATAAAATCAGTTCTTAAAATAAAAAAGGTCAATAATATTATTATTTGGTATCAGAAGTCGCTTATATGAAAGGCAAAGGCCTCTAGATTACGCTTGTTTTACCTAATAAAATATTATCATGCTTTGATTTTTAATTGTTTAATGAGGACAGTAGGTCTGACTTTGCTTAGACAAAAGTCTTGTCACTGAACAGAAATAATGTCCAGTATAGAATATAAAGTCTTGCTGAAGTGAAAACAGAATTAATCTTGTGTCTGACTCCATCATGAGCTTGGAGGACTGCATCCATACATCTCTGCAATGACTCAAATCACTGATTAATAAAGTCATCTGGAATGGCAAAGAAAGTGTTCTTGCAGGACTCCCAGAGTTCATCAAGATTCTTTGGGTTCATCTTCAATGCCTCCTTCATCTTATCCCTGACATGCTCAATAATGTTCATGTCTGGTGACTGGGCTGGCCAATCCTAAAGCACCTTGACCTTCTTTGCTTTCAAGAGCTTTGATGTGGAGGCTGAAGTATGAGAAGGAGCGCTATCCTGCTGGAGAATTTGCCCTCTCCTGTGGTTTGTAATGTGCACGTATGACAGCAATTCTATGCCAAAAATAATCAAGCGCACCAGTGATGTTTACATAAGAGAAGGAATAAACCGCAAGAAGATTACAGACCTACACGCGACATTACGAGAAATATCTCACTATTGAAAGTCATCACCTATTATTCATTCATTTTCTTGTCGGCTTAGTCCCTTTATTAATCCGGGGTCGCCCGGATTAGAGACAACAATTAAACCAAGTCCAGGACTGACAAAAATTCTAAAAGTTTTACGCGAGCAGAGAGAGCAGCCAGCAAGCGCGAGAGCGAACAATTATTTCCTCACGTGTAGGTCTGTAATATTCTCACGGTTTACTTCTCCTCATGCGTAAACATCACTGGTGCATTTGATTATTTTTGACATATAATTGCCATCATAAGCACAAATGCCTTGATACCTCAGGCTGTTGATGTTGCCATTCCCTCTGCAGATCTCTCGCACGCCCCCATACTGAATGTAATCACAAACCATGATTTTTCCTTTACCAAACTTGACTGATTTCTGTAAGAATCTTGCTGATTCCAGGTCTTCTGCAGTATTTGTGATGATTAAGATGCAGTTCAACAGATAATTCATCTGAAAAATCTCCCTTCTGCCACTTTTCCAAATGATCAACTAGAAGATATTATTTGGTGCTCTTACAACTGGGATCGATGACAAGACTTTTGTCAGGTATTGTTTCATGTATATGTTTTATCATCCATAAAAAATAATAAAGGAAATATTAATAAAAATAATAAGGTGCATATTTTTCAGAAATTAATGATTTAAAAAATAAATTAATTAAATTAAATATTCTGTGGAATAAAAAGGAACGTGTTTACTGGAATCTCCAGTTATTAATCTTACACTAAATCACAGGTGTCAAACTCGGTTCCAAAAGGGCCGCAGCCCTGCACAGTTTAGTTGCAACCCTAATAAAACACACCTGATCAAACTAATTGAGTCCCTCAGGCTTGTTTGAAACCTACAGGTAAGTGTGTTGGAGCAGGGTTGGAACTAAACTGTGCAGGGCTTCGGCCCTCCAGGAATTGAGTTTGACACCCCTGCACTAAATGATCAACTACAGCACTACGTCACCTTCACGACGTGCAGTTTCGGGAGGAGGTTGCAGTCAGCAAGCGTTAATTCATTGCCGTCCAAGTACTTGCGGTTTGAGCTTTTCTCCTCCCCGGTGCTTTCAGCATCAATCTCGTCCGGCAGAGGGGAGTTTAGGAAGCTGTCCAGTTTCTTCAAAACCTTCAGCAGCCCCTTCTCCAGACCTGCAAACATTTCAAACGAGCTTGCACTGAATGTATTCATCTGAAGAAATACAGCGGCTTTAAGTCAAGACAATCCCTGTAAAGGCTTAGTGGGATGTGAAGGGGCTTTAGGGCTCTATATTTTGCAGTCGACAGCAGAGAATCGAGAAAGAGCTGTAGAGACTCCTTTAATAAGTCATAGAGCAGATGATAAAGAAATACTTTACTTTTTGATTTTGCAACTCTCCTACACTGTAAAAAAAAATCTATTAATTTACAATTTTCATATTTTGTGATTTGTGAAAGTGTTTTCCATTTATTTATGGTTTTGGGACTATGATCTCTGCTCTGTCGTCTTTTGATGTTAAAAATTCAACCGTTTAACAAAGTGACTTTTATTGACATATTAGTAGTTTAAATTAATATAATGTATCATAAATAATACATAGAGAAAAAAGTCTGTAAAATAACAGAAAATGTACTGGCAGCTATATTATGCAACTGTATATACAATAATATACAGTAATATACAACACCTAACCAGACAATATATCACTTTAAACTATTAAAAATGTCAATAAAAGTCACTTTTTCAAACTTTTCAAGGTTGAAAGTTGTTGGAAGAAAGATCAAGATCCCATAATGCAATTCAAAAGCAGAAATAAAGGGGAAAAAAATAAAAACATGAATGACAAAACATGAAAAACTGGTCTGGCAGGAGCAATTTTAGCTTAGCTTAGCATAGTGCATTGAATCAGATTAGACCATTAGCATCTTTCTCATATTACATATTAGTAGTTTAAATTAATATAATGTATCATAAGTAATATATAGAGAAAACAGTCTGTAAAATAACAAAATGTACTGGCAGTTATATTATGCAACTGTACATACAATAATATACAGTAATATACAACATCAAAACAGACAATATATCACTTTAAACTATTAAAAATGTCAATAAAAGTCACTTTTTCAAACTTTTCAAGGTTGAAAGGTGTTGGAAGAAAGATCAAGGTCTCATAATGCAATTCAAAAGCAGAAATAAAGGGAAAAAAATAAAAACATGAATGACAAAATATGGAAAACTGGTCTGGCAGGAGCAATTTTAGCTTAGCTTAGCATAGAGCATTGAATCAGATTAGACCATTAGCATCTTGCTCATATTACATATTAGTAGTTTAAATTAATATAATGTATCATAAATAATACATAGAGAAAAAAGTCTGTAAAATAACAGAAAATGTACTGGCAGTTATATTATGCAACTGTATATACAATAATATACAGTAATATACAACACCAAACCAGACAATATATCACTTTAAACTATTAAAAATGTCAATAAAAGTCACTTTTTTAAACTTTTTAAAGTTGAAAGTTGTTGGAAGAAAGATCAAAGTCCCATAATGCAATTCAAAAGCAGAAATAAAGCGAAAAAAATAAAAACATGAATGACAAAATATGGAAAACTGGTCTGGCAGGAGCAATTTTAGCTTAGCTTAGCATAGTGCATTGAATCCGATTAGACCATTAGCATCTTGCTCAAAACTGACCAAAGCGTTAAGGTAACTTCCCGTTTTAAAGCTCTTCTGTAGTTACTAAGATGGAAAATGAAAATATGACACTGTATGTTCCTTTAACTTCTCCTTCCCCCCCCCCCCCCCCCCGCCCCCCCCACAAGTCCAAAAACATGGGGTATAGGTGAATTGGGTAAGCTAAATTGTCCATAGTGTGTGTGAATGAGTGTGTATGGATGGGTGTTTCCGCTGCGTAAAACATATGCTGGATAAGTTGGCAGCTCATTTCGCTGTGGTGATCGCAGATTAATAAAGGGATTAAGCCAAAAAGAAAATGAATGAATGAGTAACTAAAAACATATGCTTTCATGACTAGTTGATCATATAATGTTTTAAAGTGTAGGTAACAGTGCTGCGTAATATCATTGCGCCAGCTGTAGCTATGGTACGGCAACAAAGATCCTTGATTGTTACACAGAAACAAAAGTATAGTTCCTAGCCATATCGGCCTGGAAAATAACAACTTTTCTTTTTTCATTGATCTTAGTACACAATGTAACTAAAAAAAGCTCAAATTATCAAGGAAAATGATCGATAATCCTTTTTGAAATTTTTAAGCGAGATGCTAATGGTCTAATCAGACTCAATGATCTATGCTAAGCTAAGCTAACAGTGCTCTTGCCAGACCCGGAGATCATTTGAGTGAATTTAAAAATGGTAAAACCGAACCGTTTACCTCTAGAGGAGTTGTAAAATGAGCCTATTTACAAAATACAAGAGGGGTGTTCCTTCAAACTCACTTGCGTTGGCTTCTGGCTTCGTGTTCTTGATGTAAGCGGAGAACTTTGCGAAGATGTCATTTCCCGCTGTGTTTGACTCCTTGTTCTTTGCCGCCAGTTTAGGATACCTTTAGAAGTGAAACAAATCAAACAAAACAAAACAAATAACAGGTAACACTTTGTTTTAATGGTTCATTTGAGAGTGTCTTCCTAATATCTGGTGGTACAGAGGATGTGGATGCAATCTAACTTAATTCAACAAACACACCATCAAAATAAAGTGTGACCAAATAAAAAAATGCAGTTCGCATTACCAGTAGTGGACAGTAAGAAATTTTGAAGTTCAGCGTTTGAATTAATAGAAAAATAATGCACCTAAGGGGGTGATGGGTGGCCTGGGGTGCAATATTAAATGTCTAATATCTAATAGCGCTAATAATATCTAATAATTTAATAGACTGAAGTCAAATATACTAGTTACACTACCCAGCCGGGCATCTTTGATGTTAAAACAACATAAAACTGACATCTAACATTGTCTTCAAAAAATTAAGGTAACCCTGCTGAAAAATCCAGCTTAAACCAGCCTAGGCTGGTTTAAGCTGGATTTTTTAGCAGGGAACACTTTATTTTGACGGTCCATTTGAGTAGTAGACTCTCTGCTTAATATCTGTTGATACATTTAACTGACTATTAGAAACTTTGCAAGTACATGTCAACTTACATTAACCCTAACCCCAACCTAAGAGTCTACTGATAATCTAATGAGAATTAGTTGCAATATAACTTAAATTCATCAAACAGACCATCAAAATAAAGTGTGATCAAAATGATTGTACAGGACGGTCCCTGTAATGGATTTTTGACTGCAACGTTAGATGTCAGTTTCATGTTGTTTTGACATCAAGGTTGTCAGCTGACATTAAATTGATGTGCAGTTTTGACATGTTTTTTTAACATCAGTCTTAGACCGCAAATTAATGTCTTTTTGACATCAAGGTTGTTTACATGCATTCTAGGGGGAAAAATCCAGTGTAAAAGTAATACATATATATATATATATATATATATATATATATATATATATATACATATATATATACATATATACATATATATATACATTTCAAGCAGGTTTCAAGCAGGGCCCCCCTGTGGGCCCGTCCACCACACCACTGGCATTCATACACTATAACCAATTTAGTTAATTCAATTCACCTATAGCGCATTTGTTTGGACTGTGGGGGAAACCAGAGCACCCAGAGGAAACCCACACCAACACAGGGAGTATATGCAAACTCCACACAGAAATGCTAACTGGCACAGCTAGGGCTCAAACCAGCGACCTTCTTGCTGTGATTTGACAGTACCAACCACTAAGCCACCTAAATTGATTTTTAAAATGTTTTTTGACACCAATCTCAATGTCAGTTTAGTGTTGTTTGAATGGTATCTGTACTTTTACACAAACAGTCAATCCTTCATTCATCTTCCTTCAACCTACTTGGGAGGCGCGAGCATCTCCTCTAGAAACTCCTCGATCTTGTTGACATCTGTCCGCACCTCTCCGTTGAATGTTAGAAATGGTGGAGGCGTTCCAGGAGCCAGATTATGAAGATCAGCTGGTTTCCTGGAAGAAAAAGAGAAAACGTAAGATGCACGCTAACAGCTGATTTTTGTCATGCATCCAGGTAAAGTTCAGTTTTCTTCACTTTTTCAGTTGAAACACAAAGTTTGCGTCACTTTATCTAAAACTAAATGCTGAAGATCTTCTAACATCAACATGAATTTCAAAAAAAGTAGATTTAAAAATAATAATAAAATCAATTTTTCATACCTTTTCAGATCAACAGTGGTGACATTGAACACGACTCCCTTCAGCCACAGGATCATAAAAAGCCTTTGGGAGAATGGACAGTTCCCGATACTTTCTCCATCACTGCCAGCCTGAGAACAAAGTTAAAGGTTTATTATTCATTTGTTCATCTTCCTTCAGCTTAGTCCCTTTAGTCGCCACAGCAGAATGAACCTCCAACTATTCCAGCATATGTTTTACACAGAGGGTGCTCTTCCAGCTGCAACCCAGTACTGGGAAACATCCATACACACACACACACACACACACTCTTACACTACGACCAATTTAGTTCATTCCGTTCCCCTACAGAGCATGTGTTTGGACTGTGGGGGAAACCGGAGCAACCGGAGGAAACCCATGCCAACACAGAAAGAACATGCAAACTCCACACAGAAATGCCAACTAACCCAGCTGGGACTCGATGCGGCCTTCATGCTGTGAGGCGACAGTGCTAACCACTGAGCCACCATGTCGCCCCTAGTTGAAGGTCTGGTATAATGTTGCAAATACATGTGAAATGATAAAATATTTACAAAATAAAATAAAAATATGTACAATCTATTAAATTAAATATACATATTATTTATTTATTTAGTCTTTTTTATTTTATAGATACTCTGTTAACGATTTTTGTAAATTACACAGTATTTAACTGTTATATAAACTGTATTTTACTGTAAAACAGTTACGCAGAATGTTACCATATTTTGAAGTTGCATTATGACAGTTACTGTATATTTTACAGTAAAGATATGCAATACTGTAAACATACAGCAAGATAAATAGTGCTGTAAATGTAAATATGGCATTTTTGCTTTTATTGATAGATTCAACAGGAAATTGTTAACAGTGTATTATTTCTTGCTCTAATTTCTATTCTTTACTGCTTTTTTTAAACACTTCCCAAGTGCTGTTAATATGACTTTCAACACATTTTTAAACATAAGAATTTTAAAAATTTATTTTGTACTAGTTATTTTTCAGGAAACTAGTATTCAAGTCATTGGACCACAGTGCTTTGTTCTGTAGCCGATCAAATAAAGAAAAAAAAAGACAGTTATTAATATTGACCAAGCAGTTTTTATTTTTTTAAATAATACATTTTATTCCAGGCAAACAAAAAGAAATAAGTCTTTCTCCTGAAGAAAATTAAATAAATAAATAAAAATATAGAGAGAGAGTTGAAGCCAGAATTATTCGCACTTCTCAGTTTTTTTTCTTTCGTTTTCAAATATTTCCCAAATGATTTTTAACAGAGCAAGGAATTTTTCCCAGTATTTCCTATAACATTTTGTCTTTTGGAGAAAGTCTGATTTGTTTTATTTTGGTTAGAATAAAAGCAGCTTTTAAAAAACAACAACTTGACACGTCCACTAGTTCGCTTGAGTGTGCACGGCGAATGTGATGTCATTGCGGAGTTTGCTGAGGTTGGCTTTGGGTGCGAGCAACGTGATTTCAGCTGTTTTTTTTGTTTTTTTGTTTTTTTTTTTGAGACTCGAGCGAACAGTTTGCGCATCGCCATGTTTGATTTGAGTTGAATTAGAAACACTCAGAAGAGATTTTCATCTGACTGTACAGACTTATTTATGATCTGTGTTCATAGAGATAACCAGATGACCAATAATTCTTGGCTAGAAATTCCAACAGCCGTCGGAAAGTTTTTGTTAAAAGGTTTGGAAAAACCTGAGGGATAAGTTTGTTAAAGCCAAAAGAGGCCATGGCAAAAGTGGAGACCCATGTACACAATTAGAGAAATATGTTTTTCCACCATTTATAGGTTTTACACTGATGTATATATTACAATTTTTAATTTAAAACAATTTAGTAGTTAAAAAACTGTAATTAAGGAACAAATTATTTTTTTGATAACTGGAAAGACATATTTGAACCTATCGGTTTACAATACACTGATGGCCTGTTCTTCTAGACTTTATTGGTGATAATGGTCTGGAATGTCGGACCATTATTGCCTTTTTAACATATCAGTAGAAGACAGAAACTAGCCAGACAGTAATGTGTCAATTGTGGAGCGACTAAATCTATAAGTGTACTTTTTTCTGCTTTTATTCTTGCCATAATAAAAAATATATATTTGTAGAGCAACCCATGTTCTCTTGTCATTAATATTTAAATAAATTATAATAAGTAGAACTGTCCGAGATATGAAAAAAAGTAAAGTGATGCATCAAAGTTTGATTTAAAAATGGTTTGACATTTATCTTGAATGGTTATAAAAATCCTTATAATCATTAAAATAATGTATAAAAGCAATACAAATAATTAGTTTAAAAATCTTCAATGATATAAATGATATGATGTAGTTCCGGTAGCTTCCTACTTCTCTGATTATCCATCTGATTTTAAAATATATATAGTGAAATGTTATGTGCTGTCATCATGGCAAACATAAAAGAAATCAGTTATTAGAAAGGAGTTGTGTGAGATTAAACCTCTGAAAGTCATTCAGCATACATGATTTGAATCTTCAAAACAATAGTACACGCTACAAAAGAACCAATGAGAGTCAGTGCCAAATTTCCATATCTGGAATTAGGAGATGGAGCTATCCAATAGCGTCCTTAAACTGGGCCAGTAACCCAAGCTGGACATCAGATCCACTCTTCAGCTGAATTATTCATGGAAATTCCATTACCTGGACCATTAGCCCACAGCCGAGGGGTTTGGGTCATGCTGAACTTGTCAACAGAACTCTGAGCGAGACGTCATCCTCGCCACCTATTAATCTGTTTATCACTTTACGGTGCTGGGATAAAACGTGGAGCTAAACACTCGACACTCCAACGACTCAGATCAAATGTCAGAGTTATTGCTAAAGTGGTTTTTGCCCACACACACTCTAAAATTAAGATGATTTATGTTGCTTGTTTTTTTTATAATTATTTTTTCTGGATTTTCACCTTTATTTTTAATAGGACAGTAGAGAGAATTGACAGGAAAGCATGGGGAGCAAAGAGAGGGGATGGATCGGCATAGGACCGCAAGGCGGAATCGAACCCGGGTCGCCGCGAGCACCAGAGTGCATGTGTCGACGCACTAACCACTAAACCACTGGTGCCGACTTGCTTGTTCAACCTTATTCTACTGTTCTACTTATTTAAAATGAGCTGAAATTAGCTTTATTTAGACAACTTAATTATTTCATGTTCAGTTCTTTCATTTGTTTTGTGAACTGAAGTAATTTGTGTTGGGATTAATTAATTGTGTGGATTGCATTTTTGACAGTGCATGTACATATCCACATAATTCCTTCATGTTGTCCAAACACAAATCGGTTAAGTTTTTCTTAGGCCCAATCCCAATCCTATTTTTGTACCCCTTCCCCTTGGCTCTTGAAACAGAAGGGGAAGGGCTTCAAAATTTACCCTTAAGAAATGGGACAACACATCATCATGTAATCGCGATCCCTTGCTTCATATAAGATCGATGATGGTGACTGCTGTAGTTATTTGCGTTATATTTTGGTATTTATCTTCAAGACATCACTGAAGACATACAGTTGAAGTCAGAATTATTAGCCCCCCAGAATTATCAGCCCCCTGTTTATTTTTCCCCCGTTTTCTGTTTAACAGAGAGCAGATTTTTTTCAACACATTTCTAAACATAAAAGTTTTAATAACTCTTTTCTAATAACTGATTTATTTTTTCTTTGGCATGATGGCAGTAAATAATATTTGACTAGATATTTTTTAAGACACTTCTATACAGCTTAAAGTGACATTTAAAGGCTTAACTAGGTTAATTAGGTTAACTAGGCAGGTTAGGGTAATTAGGCAGGTTATTGTATAACGATGGTTTGTTCTGTAGACTATGGAAAATATATATATATAAAGGGGCTAATAATTTTCACCTTAAAATGGTGTTTAAAATTTAAAAAAATGCTTTTATTCTAGTTGAAATAAAACAAATAAGACTTTCTCCAGAAGAAGAAATATTATCAGACATACTGTGAAAATTTCCTTGCTTAACATCATTTGGAAAATATTTTAAAAAGAAAAAAAATTCAAAGGGGGGCTAATAATTCTGACTCCAACTGTATATCATGTTGCCATAACCATATAATGTGGCAATAAGGTTGTAAGTGTATTGTGCATTTGCACAGCTTATCTATGTAAACACACAAAAACACGATTAACATTATAGCAGACACTGTAAAAAGCTCATTCCCAGCCACTATACATTACTGATAGGGTATTCGAGTGTCATCGAGTGTCAGAATGTTGTGGGATTACTGAGTTATTATTATGGACTATATATAGTAAAATTCTGCGGTTTTCATTTTAGTAATTGTAAAACACAATGCCATTATAAATGTATCAAAACATGTGCTTGTTTGTTGTAAAAATTCGTAATAATGACAAAAAAAAAATACTAATTTGTGGATCTCTTTACTTCTGGGTGCAGTCATGCTGCCGTTGTGGCTGGTGTATTCAGGCACATTTTCTTACCCCTTGGTTTCGAGTGTGGTCCTAAAAAAAATCTCCATTTTAAGGGGTATCTAGCCCTTCCCCTTAGCCCTACGCATTCAAGCTAAAGAAATCAAGCTTCAAGCTTCACGGGAACGTGCAAAACGAGGGTTAAGGGGAAGGGCTAAGAGGTGGAATTGGGATTGGGCCTTAATTGTTTTGAAAATTTAAGTGAGTTGAACATAAAACAATTAATTTGTCCGAAAAAAAAAAAAAAAGTGAAATGAAGACTGCTGATAAACATGATGATAATCGATATGCTGTTTTCTTGTGAAATAATGTTTTTGAAGGTAAAGGTATTTTTCGTGTGGTTGATTATGATATATTGTAATGAAAAAGACACTGTTGGTAAACATGATGAGGGTTTATGCTATTTTCTTGTGAAATAATGTTATTGAAGGTAAAGGTTTTTTTTTTTGTGTGTATGGTTGATCATCATGATATATTGAAATGAAAAAGAGACTGTTGGCGAACATTGAGTCGCCGCCTAGATCACAGGTGCCAAACTCAGTTCCAAAAGGGCCGCAGCTCTGCACAGTTTAGTTCCAACCCTAATCAAACACACCTGATTAAACTAATTGAGTCTTTCAGGCTTGTTTGAAACCTACAGGTAAGTGTGTTGGAGCAGGGTTGGAACTAAACTGTGCAGGGCTTCGGTCCTCCAGGAATTGAGTTTGACACCCCTGGCCTAGATGATCGACACAATATAACAAATGTATATTCTTCAATGTTTTGGCATCGAAATTTCATTTTGATGTATACTATTTTCCTGTGAAATAGTTTTTGAAGGTGAGGGTAAATATTTCATGTATGGTTAGTTATGTGGGTTGAGGTAAAGGTAAAATTTGTTTGTTTTTTAATCTTCGAGCAATTGTCAAATTAAAGTTATTTTGTGGTTAATAATGGATAATGAAATATGAGTGGTGATCTAACTAATGGCGCATTGTGATTGACTATGGGATAGAAGGGAGAGGCAAAATGAAGTGAAAATAATCTGCCAATGGGGTAAGCAAAATAATCTTGTTTTTTCCTTTTGACATGAGATTATTTAGCTTACCCCATTGGCAGATAATTTTGCTTGTTTTAAGGTAAAACACTTCATTTTGGCATATTATTTCTTAAAACAAGACCATATGTTTTGCTTGTCTAGAAAATTCTTCTTGATTTAAAAGTTTTAAGATATTTAGACTAAAAACAAGACAAACAATCCAAGTAAGAAAATCATGCTTTGCTGTGTATGTAAAACCTATGCTGGATAATTTGGCGGTTCATTCCGCTGTGGCTACCCCTAATGATTAAATGGACTAAGCTGATGGAAAATGAATGAATGAATGAACATTGTACACTCTTTTCTGGTAAAAATCCATAAGTCTGATCACTTTAAGTCTGATCCACAAGTCTTGAATCAACTTTTCACATGATTTGCGGAATCATTACACTCTAAAAATACCCAATAACCCAACGCTGGGTCAATTATAGACAAACCCAATGTTGGGTTACGTTTTTTCAATTAAATTTAAAATGATTCTTTTTAACTCAACAGTTGAGTTTGCCAATATTCGACCCAACATTGTGTTAAACAACCCAGCATTTTTAGAGTTTATGTGAAAATTTAATAGGGTGTATGCAGAAGTATGGACTTTTAATTTGTCAGTTATCTGGGTTAAGCGCTTCCGGTGAACTGTAAACCGTTGCAAAATTGGCGCGTTTAAGGGCTGTTTTCTTTAAAAATCAGCGATCGCCACTAGCTGAGTGACATCCGATATAAAGGGGGTCTCAGATTGTACAAGAAGCCCTGCATTAAATGATATTTCCCCACCATGTCTTTAAAATATGAACATTTATTTTATATGAACATATATTTCTGACGGGCGCGTGCGAGTAAACGGCTTTTCGTCTCGTTTTACGCTTGAGCAACTGAATGCCAAAGTCTATTTAACTGATTGTATTTTAACTACATAAGGAACCGTATAAAAATGGAAAAAGTCGCTTTAACCAGTCTATCAGTATGGGAAGAAATCAGCCTGATCTCACGAGGAAACGTAAGTATTTTACGTTTTGTCAGTTAAAGTGGCTAATTCGTATGATTTCGTACGAGTTCAGTCGTACGAAAATGTACGATTTTAAAAAGGAGGCGTGGCAACCAACCCCACCCCTAACCCCAACCGTCACTGGGTGATGAGCAAATCGTATTAAATTGTACAAATTAGATCGTACGAATTCATATACTAAATCTAAAAGTTACGAATTGCAGTGAGATTGCGTTGGAAGAAACATATGTACCCTATTTCACCTCTTATCTAAAGAAATTGGATAAGTGTCAAATGGGTTACCCAACACATTATACTTATTAATGTAAAGGTATCATAATCAACAAGAAATGGACATAAGCCAGTCAACAAAGTGTTTCTGGTCTCTGCCTTTTACTGTCACTATTGGCTCTATTTATAACTTTGACTCATGCAATAAGACACCACATGGTTAAAAAATAACATGTGACCTTCTGCAATTATGACCGCTCTTTTATTTAAACTGATGTCTCTAATGTCTTTATCAACGTTTGTATTCTTTTCACCTTCTGCTGTTAACGTGTTATAGGTCACAACAAATCTGCTAAACAACCCAGAGAGAGAGCCGCAGAAGTCCCGATCAGCCCTTCAGAGGAATTAGAGCATGAGGTGTTGATAGAAGTCAAGAAATAATTGAAGAGGAACCCTGAGTTTCTGCTTTGAAACGCTACCTGCTTCCTTTAGAGTCCTCAAAACTCAAAGTCTGCCAGCAAAACACTACTGGGAAAACTGAAACTGCTTTTAAAAGAAGCTAATGCTTTCTTCTGTTGTGTGTTTTCTGCTTTTCCATTGAGTGTTTGAGGCTGTATTTGTATACTCTGAAAAATGCTAGGTTTTAATAACCAAACGTTGAGTCAAATATGGACAGACCCAATCATTGGTTTAAAAAAAAAAAGTCATTTAAATTTAATTGAAAAAAATGAACCCAACATTTATCCATATTTTGGCTGGGTTACAGCAACCATGTATTTTTAGAGGGTACTACAGTTTAAAAAACTGAAAACATTGTGTGTTTGAGGCTGTATTTGCGCACGTTGAAAAAAAGCTGAGTTATCGTAAGCCGACGTTGGGTCAAATATGGACAAAACCAAACGCTGGTTTAAAAAGTGTCTTAAAAAGTGTCATTTAAATTAAATAGAAAAACGTTTAGCCAGCACTGTTCAACATTTGTCCATATTTTACCCAATACTGGATTACAACAACCCAGCGTTTTTTGTGTACTACGGTTCAAAGACTTTTAAATATAGCTAAACACTTTCTTCTGTTGTATGATTTTGTTGTTGTTGTTGTTTTTACATTGTGTTTGAGGCTGACCATTCACTTTTGTTGTTATTGTAGTTTTGTCAGTCTTTTCAGTGTTCATAAACATTCAAATATAACATTGAATAGGCAATGGGAAAACTGAGAAACAAGCAAACAAACAAAACAAACATAGGCTTTAATACAAGAAAACAAATAAAAACAATGCTGGGTTCTCTTACTGTAACCCAGCGTTGGGTTAAATATGAACAGACTCAATCCAACTTTTGTGTTAAAAGTATTTTTTTTTTTTTTTTGTCCATATTTGACCCAAAATTGCGTTTTTGGGTAATTTTATTATTCAATTTAACCCAATTTTGGGTCAAGTATGCAATGTAAAAAAAGAAATATGACAAAGTCATGACAACAAATGATTTGTGCAACTTTAACTAATTTTAATCATTAAAATCACACAAAAAATGCCAGGTTATTTTAACATACTTCTTGGTGTAATAAGGACTAATACATTTTTTCTATTAATATTATTTTTAATTAATAGAACTAAATTTAATCCAATGTATCTAATTTGGGTTGAAATAACCCAGTTTTTTTGAGTGCAGGTTTAACAAAATATTTTTATATATAAGTTCAACTTTATACTTTTAGTCTGTTTGGCTGATTTAAGTTGAGAAAACATTTAGGCATCACACATTTTTTACAGTGCGGACAAAATTTAAATAACACTTTTAAACACAAAAGTTGGGTTGGGGTTGTCCATATTTGACCCAATATTGGGTCAAATAAGACAACCCAGATCTTTTTTTGTTTTGTTTTGTTTTGTTCTAGCCTACACTGTAACAAATGTTAGGTTCCACACAATTCCTTCATGTTGCCCCAACACATTCAATTAAGTTAACTTAATTTTACAAATTGAAGTCGATTGAACAAAAAACAATTAAGTTGTACCCAAAAAGATTGTGTTGTTTCACCTCTTTTTAAATAAGTAGCTTTAACAAGCAGCAAAAGTCATTATTGGAGTGTATGCTTTGTTTGTTTGTTTGCTAGATTTCCCATTGCGTATTGAAGGTTATATTTGAATGTTTATAAACACTCAATAAACCAAAAAACCTACAACAAAAGCACCTAATGTAGTGAATCCCGACTGACTGTCACAAACCATTCACTCAAAAAAAGCAGTTGTCTTAACCCAACATTGGGTCAAATAAGGTCAAACCCTACCGAATAGATTTAATTAAAATTTTGTGTCCCAATATTTGACCCAATGTTAGGTTACAATAACCAATCATGTTTTGAGTGTTAATCAAATGTTACAAACAAGATGAACAATTCTTTAATCTAAAATAAATAATGCTGTTTTTTTAACCCAATGTTGGGTCAAATATGGTCAAACACAAGCAAATATATTAAATTAATCCAATGTTGTGTTTGTCCATATTTGAACTAATGTTAGGTTACAATAACTAATCTTTTTTGTGTGTTAATCAAGTGCGCCAAACAAGATAAACAATTATTTAATCTGAATATAAATGGCTGTTTTTTTTTTACCTAATGTTGGGTTAAATATGGTCAAATCCAACCAAATATATTAAAATAACCCAATAATGTTTGTCCATATTTGACCCAATGTTAGGTTACAATAGGCAATCTTTTAATCTTATTAATCAAGTGTGCCAAACAAGATAAACAATTCTTTAATCCCAATTTTTAAAAATGCAGTTATTTTAACCCAATGTTGCGTAAAATATGGTCAAATCCAATCGGATAGATTAAATTAACCCAATATTGTGTTTGTCCATATATTACCAAAAGTTATGTTACAATAAATAACCACTTTTTTGTGTTATTCAAGTGTACCAAACAAGATAAACATTTTTTTAACCCAATGTTGGGTCAAATATGGTCAAACCGAACAAGATAAACAATTCTTGAACAAAACTTACCTTGACGAAGAGCTCAATATCAGGATCTTTGCCCTCTTCATTTGAGGTCATATCGCTGCAGCTCACTCAGAAACAGAAGCTGACAGAGAACTGTGTATCCTGCTGTCCCCTTGGATGCGAGTTTGCAGAAGTCTTGTGTTGTTGTTGTTCTAACAGGTTTGTGGTTGTGATTTTCCTGGCGGTCAGCTGTCAGTGAGAGCCGCTGCGCTGTCAGACCAAAAATAACCTCCACGAGGAGCAGGAGAGAAAGAGGAGTCGGGTGTCATTTACACCATTATTTATTCCGCAGCTCACTGTACCACGGCCACCGCCGCTGCTGCTGCTTTATAGAAATATGATGAATCATGTTTCACTCCTTACTGTCAAAACCTGAGTCACGACACAATGACCTCTCACAGCGCTGGTGCGAAAATCCAAACAGCACCTATAATAAGACTCCTTACGTGTCAAATGAACTCAATTCCAGAAACTTCCACAGCTGTGTTCTCTAGTAAAAGACATGGATAAAAACTGCTATGTGAAATAAGTGCCAGTTTTTCTAAATAATAGAGATATTAGTATCTGAAAGCTCAAATCAATATGTTTTCCATTGATGTACACTGTAAAAAATGATTAGAAAACTCAATTGACTTAAAGTAAACCTGTTGCTTTTCAGTCGATTAGTTGACTTTAATTAAAATAAGTAAGTAAACCTATAAAATATGCTGACTTAAAAATGTGAGTTAACCTGTTGCTTTTAAAGCGATTAGTTGACTTTACTTAAAATAAGTGCGTAAACCTGTTGCTTTTAAAGCGATTAGTTGACTTTACTCTAAAATAAGTGAGTAAACCTGTTGCTTTTAAAGCGATTAGTTGACTTTAATTAAAACAAGTGAGCAAACCAGATGCTTTTAAAGTGATTAGTTGACTTTACCTAAAATAAGCGAGTAAACCTGCTGCTTTTAAAATGATTAGTTGACTTTACCTAAAATAAGTGAGTAAACCAGTTGCTTTTAAGCGATTAGTTGACTTTACTTGAAATAAGTGAGTAAACCAGTTGCTTTTAAGCGATTAGTTGACTTTACTTGAAATAAGTGAGTAAACCTGTTGCTTTTAAAGCGATTAGTTGACTTTAATTAAAATAAGTGAGTAAACCTGCTGCTTTTAAAATGATTAGTTGACTTTACCTAAAATAAGTGAGTAAACCTGTTGCTTTTTAAAAGGATTAGTTGAATTTACTTAAGATAATTGAGTAAACCTGTTGCTTTTAAAGCGATTAGTTGACTTTACTTAAAATAAGTGAGTAAACCTGTTGCTTTTTAAAAGGATTAGTTGAATTTACTTAAGATAATTGAGTAAACCTGTTGCTTTTAAAGCGATTAATTGACTTTACTTTAAAAGTGAGTAGACATGTTGCTTTTAATGCGATAAGTACACTTTACTTAAAATAAGTGAGTAAAGGAGAACCTCTTCTGAATGTTATCAACTCTTCTTTATCTTTAGGCCATGTTCTTAATCCTTACAAGCTAGCTGTTATTAAGCCTTTTATTAAGAAACCACAACTGGACCTCAGCAACTTAGCTAATTATTTGCCTATTTCAAATCTTCCATTTACGTCTGAAATACTAGAAAAAGTTGTTTCTACTCAATTATGCTCCTCTCTGCAGATGAACAATGTTTGTGAAGTGTTTCAGGTTTCAGGGCTCATCACAGCACAGAAACCGCATAAGTGAAAATAACCAATGATTTACTCTTAGCTGCTGACCAAGGGTGCATCTCGCTATTAGTTTTACTCGCTCTTATGCCGCATTTGACACCATTGACCACAATCTCCTCATAAATCGCTTAAATTCTACAGGTGTCCAGGGACAAGCTTTACAATGGTTTAAGTCATACTTAGCGGACCGTTACCAGTTTGTGAATATTAATGGAGAGCCTTCACAAGTCAGCCCAGTAAAGTATGGGGTGCCTTAAGGATCAGTTTTAGGCCCTTTGCTGTTTACAATATACATGCTACCCCTGGGAGACATTATTAGAAGACTGGATGGCCAACAATTTTCTTTTCTTAAACTCAGACAAAACAGAATTATTACTTATTGGGCCTAAATCCTGAACACAGCAGATCTCACAACTCGACGAGGGATACAAAGTTAGCGCTACTATAAAAGATCTGGGTGTCATACTAGACAGCAATCTAACTTTTAAAAACCATATATCCCATGTGACAAAAACTGCCTTCTTTCATCTGAGAAATATCGCTAAATTACGAAGTATGCTATCCATCTCAGATGCAGAAAAGCTAGTCCATGCTTTTATGACTTCTAGAGTGGATTACTGTAATGCTCTATTTGCTGGCTGCCCAGCATCCTCAGTTAACAAACTTCAGCTAGTACAAAATGCAGCAGCCAGAGTTCTTACCAGGTCTAGAACATTTGATCATATCACCCCAATTTTATCCTCCTTACACTGGCTACCTGTTCAGTTTCGTATTCAAATATTACTTCTTACCTATAAGGCTCTAAATAATCTAGCTCCTTTTTATCTAACCAATCTTCTGTCTCGCTATAATCCAACTCGCTCTTTAAGATCTCAAAACTCAGGGCTTCTGGTAGTACCTAGAATAGCAAAATCGAGTAAAGGAGGTCGAGCCTTCTCCTTTATGGCTCCTACACTCTGGAATAGCCTTCCTGAGAACGTCCGAGGCTCAGACACACTCTCCCAATTCAAAACTAGATTAAAGACCTATCTGTTAAGTAAAGCATACACTCAATGCATCACTTAGCGATATGATACATGAATGTGCTCCACGCAGGTTTTTGCATCTCGTTTATATACACTATTAACAGCAGCTACGCTAATTTGTCTATTTATACTCTATTTCCACCTGGGGATACTCATCCCGAGGCCCTCAGATCACACAGCGCCACTGATTTGATCCAAGACCAGCGACGAGATGATCCCGAGGTTTCCATATCCTGGACCAGGCTGTATCCTGAGCAGCTGCTGTAGTGGTCATGGAGGAGTGGAGAACATGAGACTGATTCCTGTGATGCTCCAGGGACAGACGAGTCTTTGATGAGGCCCAGCGTCCAGCCTCCGGCGCCTTGACTGCAGCTCTGCACAAGACGTTTGGCCAGAGGAGAAATGGTCGTGCCCAACTGAGCCTGGTTCTCTCAATGTTTTTTTTTTTCATCACTTTCAACAATTGATGAAGTTTTTCCTCGTCACTGTCGCCACTGGCTTGCATAGTTCTGTAGAGCTGCCCATCGATGGATTTGCTTTTCAGTGTTTGGACTCACAGTTGTGAAAATCAAACCACACTGAACTGAGCTAAACTGAACTGAACTGAACTCTGAAAACTGGACTGACACTGTTTCAATTTACTATGATCTTCTATGTGAAGCTGCTTTGACACAATCTACATTGTAAAAGCGCTACACAAATAAAGGTGAATTGAAAATTGAATAAACCTGTTGCTTTTAAAACGATTAGTTGACTTTACTTAAAAATAGCATTATTTCACAGTTCTACTGTATATACACACACATCTCATTTTAAGAAATGAGATAAGGGTAAACAAGGTTCATTTTAATTTTTTAATTTTTTTCAAAATTTCTCAAAATATTTTTGTTAGAGGTTCAGCTTTTTTCTATTTCAGGTCCATCAAGCTTACTTTTTTTCTCAGCTCATGTATTTAAAGTGACAGTTCACCAAAACAAAATGAACATTTCCACATCATTTACTGAAGCGGTTAATTCTCCTGTTGAGCACAAAATAAGGTATTCTGAAGAATGTTGGAACACAACAGTCACTGCATATTATAGGAACAATATTACTATACTATGGAAGTCAACGGCTGTATTTTCCAGCATTCTTCAGAATATCTTCCTTTGCTTTTAACAAAAGAAAAAAAAAAAACTTGGTTTGGAGCGAATGGAGAGGTCACACTTTACAATAAGGTTTCTTTAGTTAATAGGGGTGTCACGATTTCGATTTTTAATCGAAATCGATCGAAATTTTTGCTCAATTTTGATTATCGAATCAAAAAATAGAATCGTCGATGCTGCCACGCCCCCATGTCACGTCAGCTTGGCTTGCCAAGCGGGAAAAAAACAGGCTTGTTGAAGTGCTTGTTAAACTGCAGACGCAGGAGACCCGTCGACAGAACTTAAACCCTCTCCTCTTTCAATGAAGTCGCCGGTGTGTGAGCATTTTGGATTTCCAGTTAGTTATGTTGACAACGTTTGTGTTGTCGACAAAAAAAAAACACAGTTTTGCAAGCTTTGCTATGTACGCATTACGTACGGTTCGTCCGATAGACAACACCAGCATCGCGATCCTCCGCCCGCCCCCGTTGCAAATTCAATTCAATTCGATTCAATTCAGCTTTATTTGTATAGCGCTTTTACAATGTAGATTGTGTCAAAGCAGCTTCACATAAATGGTCATAGTAACTGGAACAGCGTGGTTCAGGTTTTAGTGTTTAAGTTCAGTTCAGTTCAGTTTAGCTCAGTTCAGTGTGATTTAATCATTACTGAGAGTTCAAACACTGAAGAGCAAATTCATCGATGCGCAGCTCTACCAATCCTGAACCATGCGAGCCAGTGGCGACAGCGGAGAGGGAAAAAAAACTTCACCTGATAAGAGTGAAGAAAAAAAACCTTGAGAGAACCAGACTCAGTTGGGCACGACCATTTTAATTTCTCCGCTGGCCAAAAGTCTTGTGCAGAGCTTCATTCGCCGTGGTTTAGGCAGGAAGCTGGCCTCAGCGAAGACTCGTCTGTCCCTGGAGCGTCACTGGAATCAGACACATGTTCTCCACTCCTCACGACCATCAGCGCAGCAGCAGCTCAGGATACGGCCTGGTCCCGGATATGGAATCCTTGGGATCATCACGTCGCTGGTCTTGGATCCAATCAGTGACTCCGCATAATCTGAGGACCTCGAGATGAGTATCTCCAGGTGAAAATAGAGAATAACGAGAATAATTAGCGTAGCTGCTGTTCATCGTGTATATAAGCAAGATGCAGAAGCCAGTGTGGAACCCGCTAGGTGATGCATTGAGTGTATGCTTTACTAAACAGATAGGTCTTTAATCTAGTTTTGAACTGGGAGAGTGTGTCTGAGCCTCGGACGCACTCGCGAAAAGTACACACTGAGGCCCTGTTTACACTGTCTTTGTTTTTAA